CAGGTTAAGTACACTGCATTTCTGCTTCCAGGACACTCCCACCCTCCTCTTTCTGTATATTCTATGTACCAACCTTCCTCCTCCCCCATTCCTCCTCCATCCTCCGTCTCCCTCTATGTTGTTACACAGCAGTACAGCAGTAGATAAGCACAGCATCCGGTATGAGTCCTCCCTCCACAGGCAGTGAAGTGTCTCTCGCAGCTCAGAAGGGCAGTATCTTCAAACACATTTAACCTACTGATGCCTCAATTAATGTAATTTTATTAATATCTTTTTTTATTTTTGAAATTTAACAGTAGCTGCTGCATTTTCCACCCTCGGCTTATACTCGAGTCAATAAGGTTTCCCAGTTTTTTTGTGGCAAAATTGGGTGCCTCGACTTATATTTGGGTCAGCTTATACTCGAATATGTACGATAATATAAATAAGATAAAAATATGACTCAGATTCATTTTACTTATTGGTTTGGGAAACTGCATTAGATATGTTTTAAAGGTAATAATAATTGCATGTTGTCATGTTAATTCTGACTTATGTTGATCCTCTCCAGGTCTGGGGGCAACCTGGGATTGTGCAGCTTGCCCAATGCCACACAGGCTGGCTCTACTCATAGGAGGCACAATGGGGAATTGAACTCCCAATATCTAAACAAAGCAATATTTGGCTCCATCATTAAGCCCTGGAATAAATGGGTTTGGTTTAACTTACGATCAGGAACGAGTGGGAATAAGCTTTGGGGTTGTTTGCACAGAGTAAGTTAATTGTCTAAACTGAGACCTTCAGCTGGGTCAGGGCCTCACTTTGTGTCCATCACACGAACATAAACACCTGGTCCTACCCCCTGCTACAATGCAGAACCTTACAAATGCTGCATGTCTGAGAGGTAGCTGTTGAGCCTTTGAGTAAAATCTGCTGTAAAACAAGCTCTTTATCAGTCAGGAAGTTAGTTTTCACGTTTAGCTGAAACATGTCGTCCCTTTCCCAGCCCTTGGTTCCAGTCCAGTCCTCTGAAGTGAGAGGCTGCCTGCAGTATTTTGCGCATGACAGCCCTTCAGACATTTGAAGACCTTGACCACATCTCTTCTTCTTCTTCATAAATCTTCTTCCAGGTGAAATCGACACAGCCCTTTTAACTGTTCCTTGCAAGACTTGGCGTCCATCCCCCGCCTTCCTCTCCTACTGCATCTTCCCCCTTGCAAATTGTGTTTCCGCAGCATCTTTCTCCCACACACTTTCCTCTCTCCCTCCCTGAGCTTATTTTCATTACTAAGAGCTCCGCGATGGGGGGTTGGTGGGTGAGGAATGGGTCCTGCCAACAGATGCAGCAGGAAGTTGTGGGAGGAAGCTCTGTAGTGACCTAAGGCATTTCACTGCCTGGAGTGGACCATTAAATGGCACGCCAGCCACAACAAGCAAGACTTAATGGTTGGTCAATCAGTGTCCCTGAAGATGGTGTTGAGCTGCCACCACCATCATTCCTCAACATTAGCTCTGCTAAGACTGGCACAAGCTGCAGCCCAACCATAACTGGAGGGCCACAAATTGCTCCGTTCTCACAGTTTTGATGCACAATTGCAGCTTACAGTCCCTGCCTTCCTCTATTGACTTCACTCCGTTGGTAAAGGCGGCAGCATCCATCTGAAGGATAGCAAATGCATGCCAGAGGAAACTAAAGGGTATTTAGTGAGAAACTGTAGAGTTGTTTTAACTGTAGAATTGCTTTTTTGAAGTAGGCTGGACAACTTTGGAATATCTGGATCTCCCCCCCCCCACATTCAACCAGATGTTGTATCCTGCATCTTATTGCTGTATTCACCGTTGTACTGCTGAAATTCAGCAATGTGATTATTTCTAAAACCTCAGCCATTTATAGCTAAAACAAGATACTAGAGGAATGTATTTCCAAGTTAATTGCAGTTCCAGGTGGATCACAACACGATGAGGTAGAGAACAAGGTGTGTACTCTCCATGCAGTTTGTTTTAAAGACAAATTGCTGGGATTTTTGCTGGTGGTATATGTAACAAATGAAGGCATGGCCACAAAAACTGGTAGATTTAAAGGTAAATTGCTGGGATTTTTGCTTGCGACGGACTTTACACTTTTTCTTAATGAGGTTCCATTTAAAGTTGCTGCTGCATGGGCCTGGCCTCTCACTTAAACCACAGCCTCGGTGGTTTAAATGAGAGGCCACTGCATGAGTAATGGCAGTGGACAAGTGCATTCCGTACTTGGGAGACCATCGGATTTGAACAAGATGCTGAACCTTTCAACCACACATGCACGAAGTTTTTTTTTTATTTGCTTGTCTGGCCTCTTATTTAAATTATGCCCTAATACTGCATGCTAAGGTGGAGGAAAAGGAGTGTACTATGAACAGTTTGAAGTGTGTGGGCCCCAGGGAGTGAGTGATGCTTTCCTTGTCTTTCCAGCCATTTTCACCAGATCACCATCTGGGAACAGACGGTGCTGCTCTACCAGATCTAAGGGAGATCGATCTTTCATACAGTTAAGGAGCATATTTCCCATGGAGACTTGCCAATGGCTGCTTATTTTCTTCCACAAGCACCATTTAATTTTGCAACTGGAGTGACAGGACAAAGCTGTGTGTGCGCATTACACGTGTGTATTAACCACCACAGCCAACATCAGCCAGCATGATCCTATTTTGCATGCACAGCTGCAAGCCCCACCGAGATTAAGAAGGCATGCAGATGGTAGCCCTCTTTAATTTGCTATGCAAGCCATAGCTGCAAGGGAAGAGAGCAGCCTGAAATCAGAACTTGGCAAATAGGCTCACAAAGAAGGGGGCACAATCTTAGGAACATCCATGGAAGGCTTTAAAACAGGGGGAAATATTACTGCACTTTTGGGGAATCCCAAGTGCTTTCAGAGACTGACTGGTTTTCTGTAACCGATCCATGCGATTCAGCCATGTTAAAGAATCAGCCGAGAAAGAGACTACACAACAGGACAAATGTCAATATGTGTCGGTATACAAGGTAAGGAATAACCTGTGGTCAGCCTGACCATTAGGATGGTTTGTTAGGCAAGTGTCTTAAGGCAGGGATAGGAAACTCTGGATATATTTCACTCCAACTTTCAGATACCCTGAACACATGTGACCAGTGAGTGTTAAGGGACTCTGGAAGTTGTTGAAAACATCTACGGGGCCAAACGTTTCTCCTCTCTCATGAGAAGGCAAGCTCCGAATCCAGGATGCAAATGTTATGCCTGTTTTCTTCCTTTGAAGGGGAGCAGCCCTGAATGAAAAACAGTTTTCCTTTCCTGCTGTGACTATACTGGCAACTCTTTGCGGTACTGGTGCCCTGCTTGCCTGTCAACCCTCATAGCAGGCATCAGCGTTCTCCAATCCATGCAGAAAATCTGTCTGGCATCCTGCGATTGTGGAAGCAACAAAGGCTACCTGCACGTTCCGAAGGCCACCCATGACTGGGATGCGAGGAAGCCTTTTTGAATTGCCCTTCAGTTTCCATCTGGCTTTCCAGCAAGGCAGTGTGGCATTAATTATTATGTTTTTAAGGCAGTTGGTCTTCCAGCCTCAGGGGGCATGACTGACAGATGACGTTGCCGAGACCAAGCTCCCCCACTCTGAAATACAGGCCAGAATAACTCTCATCCACACGATCAAATTTCTGCCAGTGTGGAGGCCGCCTTCCAGCTAAGAAAAACAAGCTAGATCTCTTCTAGATACCAGAAGAGAGGCTGGCAGCCTTACAGCAGAGGGGCAGCAGGCTGGATTCTCCTCTCCTGCAGCACTGCAAAGAGTGCCAAGGCTTAGTGCTGACTCTTGGTCTAGTGACTTCAGCCCAAATCTAGAAAGGGCAGCCTTTGAGACCTATTGTTTCTGGAAGTGGCCTTGGAAAGCGTCTCTCTCACCCCACCTTCCACACCAGTATATCAAGTGAATGCAGTCTCTCACCCACGTGACCTGAGCATTTCCTCCTCCTCCCTCCCTCTTCGCCCAAGTCTCCAAGTGCTGGCAAAAGACTCTCCCTAGATACTTGAGGCATCCATTCGACTGCCAACAGAAGCACACAAAGCAGCCTCATCACTCAATATATAGGTTTCTTTTAATATAAAAAAAGTCTATTAAAAATTCCTTCCTAAATACACAAAAAGACCAGTTGGGGTGCAGGGGGGGAGGGGAAGCAAAAAAGGGGGTCTTGGGGGTTGAGCATGAAGGCAACGTGGCCTGGGGAAGGAAGCAAGCAAGCAGGAGCTGATATGGAGATAATCGGGAGGTGTGTTTTGTTTCCAAGCGACTACCAAGTCTGGCATATTTAGCTGTACAGTTCAGATCGGTAATGGACAACACAGGATGGGGTGTTGGTGTTGGTGGTGTTTATTCTCTCCTCTCCCCTCCTTTTTTTTGTTCTTTTCTTTCTTTCTTTCCTTTTGCACAATCCACAAAGCTGTACATCAGTTTCCAAATCCAGAAAAAAGAGGGAATAACGAGGGCAGGACTCAAGTTGAAAAAGTCACATGCACGCACGCACGCACGCAGACCCTGAGCTCAGCACTGGCGCAAAGGGACACACACGGAGGAAGGAATATTCATTTCAGTTTACAAGTGGCCAATGAGAACTCAGAAAATGCCGTTGTTCCCCCTCCCTCTCCCCCCTCCCCAACAAAAGAGGGTGTATTTGCTTGTCTTTAATAGTTTTTTTCCTAGTTTTTTTTTTAATACAAATTTGGATCTTTGGGTGTGTACTGCCGAGAAACAAACATTATTTTAGAAACCCCCCCGAAACAATAAAAAAGCAACTTAAAACCTCAATGAAACCCATGCTGAAATTTGCACATCACAAAACCACAGCAGATGTACAGATGCAATATACAATACACAATTTATAATAAAACATTATATACAATAAATAGGTTCTTGTTACTTTTTGTCAATCAATCTGCAAATAGATTTCTCAGTGCATACCTGACAAAATTAGCTTCCCTCCTGCTTTGACTATCTCTGGACACTTCCTTTTTTGTCCTCAAAAAGATTTATTTCTGATTTTGAAAACTTATCTCTATGTGTTTTCATTGTGTTTGCTCTTTTGGATTGTTTTTGTACTGTTTTTTTTTTTTTTACATTTTTGAAAAGTATTTACAATTGCTGGTTTTGTGCAGAAAGAAAAGCCCCACTGCCCCTCAACCCACCTCCCACCTTGCTTCTCAATAGAGGAGACACAAGCATCTTAGCAACAAACCTGGGGGGGGGAGGTTGGTGTGGGCAAGGAGGGCCAAGAGAGGCAGTAACACAGAGGGGACACAGTAATACAGAGAGGTTGGGGACAGGACAGGAAAGGCAACACACATTTTCCATCTTCTTGCTGGGATTTCTCTGTGGACAAGGATTCTTCCAACGGAACGTCTCCTTCTCCCTATCCCTCCACCAGGCAAAGAAGCAAAGTCAGGAGGAGCGGCAGTTCATTGCAAGACCATAGCCGGTGGCGGTTGTTGGGCCTCCTTCCTGTTGGTGATGGAAGCTTGGAACAGAAAGCAAAGAGATTTCAAAATGTGAAAAATTATTGTTATCCGCATTAACAACAGTCAGTGTAAACAATTGACTTGGCAGAGCAGCATGAAAGGGACCAACTACATGCTCTCCAAGCTAGCAGCGTTTACCGAATGAGAAGATGTCTTAGATGGCCTCTGGACATATGCAGATAATTGCCTTTTAGCATCTGAAACCAAGGTACGTAGATTTGATTTAAACATTTTTAAAGGGGAGTTTTTGATTATTTAAATGTTTATAAAAAAAATTTTTGATTTAAATTCTGATTTAAATCAATTTTTAAAAAGTCATTGAATTTTCATCCACTATGAAGTTCAATCAGGTCTCTAGCTGAAGAACATTCTATAACTCCTGATGTCTTCCAAGTTTTTGGGAAGGTCTTCTGGCAGTTCATGCTAGCAGGCAGATTCTGAGAATTGTAAATAATATTTCTAAACTCTGCCTCCACAACAATGATTATAAATCAGATAAGCAGGAGACTTGACTGGGCAAACCATTGATGGACTGACAGAATAGGAGATGGTGGTCCCCATCCTTTTCAGGGAAAGGAGGGGTGAGCACCATGGGTCTGTTCAGATGTTAGACATTTAGAGGACAGTAGGTTGTCCATCATGTTGGCTACCAAAATGAATTTGACCAAACTCTGGGAGGCAGTGGAAGACAGGAGGGCCTGGCGTGCTCTGGTCCATGGGGTCACGAAGAGTTGGACACGACTAAGCAACAACTATAAGGTTGCCCATCACTGGCTTGAAGATCTATCTGAATATCTGAATATGCAGGAGGGGGTGGGAGCATGAAAGCTGACATGGTTGCTGTGGTTGTCCATACCTTGAGAGCAAAGTCTGACAGTAAGGCAGGACTGGTTAAAGTGTGGCCTTAAAGCTGAAGCGGCCCATAAAAATCCATTTATGTATCCCCCATCGACAGAACCGTTTAATTTTTTTTCCCTTGGGGAGACTACCAACCCCAGCCCCTAGAACTCCCAAATTCAGAACCAGAAAGTGGATATCCAGGCATTTCTATTTTTGATTCTTTGGAACATTTTTTTAATACCTCTAGGTCTGGTACAGCCTGGTGGCTTTGTTGGGAGTGAAAAACTAGGCTCTTTGGCCCACCACATTTGCCTGGCCTCTGGCGCTACTAGAAGTCCAGAGATGTGAAATAAAGTGTTCTGAGACCGAATCAAAAACTGAGTCATGATCACACACACCACTGTGGTCTGTCAATCGCGCCTAAGCAGAAAAAGGCAGGACCCATTCATTCTCCCAACCCCAAAGGGCCTGGTTTCTTACATCCAAAGGCCTCCCCACATGGGGACCAAGAAACGTCAAAAACACAGAGGGACGGAGTGCTTAACCCGCCCATGAAAAACACTGAAGGCCCGAAGCAAGAGAAAGGGAGTGACAAGCATGCTAGGGAGGCAAAGGATGAGCAGAGCTGAGGGATCAGTTGTCATAGAGACTGTGACAGGCTAGGCTTGTTCCTGCTTACTTCGCAAGGAAAAGTAGAGAAAGGTGCCCACTGGATAGTTCTCATTCAGAGGCTCTCAGGAGTGGCATTAAAATGGATGATAGGAAGCAGAAACTGAGGAGAAAGTGGCCCGAGACGGAGACTAAGCTGACAGCCTGTTCACAAGACAGATGTTTAAAGGTGGTGCCGTGACGAAAGCCATCTTTCTCCCAGCGCTGCTTTTTCTATTGGCAGGTTTTGATGGTAAACATTCCTGACGCCGAAGCAAAGATAGGGAACATTGGGGTTTTTTTGGCTGTCAACTCTTTGTTGCTTGGGGTGTTTTGAGAGTGGGCACCCAAGAAAAGTAACCTTCCCCAGCTTGGGGCCTGGAGCCTTGAGGTGGATTTTGGAGGACACTGGGGTGGTTTATCAAAAGCAGCTGATACAGCCCTTGACCTATTTGGTGAGGAAAGGCCTGCACTTGGATCTGAGACAGCTGAACTTCATATGGCGAGGGAGGAAGAATAAATCCCCTGGTTAACAAATCTCTCTGTTGCTCTGCTACTGATTCACCCACTGCCTGAGAAACAGGGCCGGGAGTAGCTGTGGAGGAAAACACCCTGCTAAGTCAAGTCTCTCGAGCAACAGCAAAGTGGAGGCCATCTGCTGGGACCTAGACGGCCACACTTTGGCAGTGGATCAGGTTGAGATGTCCACTGCACCAGCTGGTCCGATTATATTGCATCCATTTCAGCCTGTTGCATTATCTGAGGTTGACAAGGTGCTTGATTGCTGCAGGGCCACCACAAGCTCCCTAGATTCTTGCCCAGCCTGGCTTTTAAAAGCTGCCAGGCCGATAATAACGGAACGGGCCGCTTCTATCATCAATGCATCTCTCCTTGAGGGTTGGGTTCCTCAAACTCTCAAGGAGACACTCTCTGCCGCTGCAGGCGCTGATCGGCACCCGTAGAGGCAGACAGAGCAGGTTTGCTGGCTGGAACTGCAGCTTCCGTCCCAGTGCCACCGCCACCACCACTGCTGCCAGAATGCCAAGGTAAAGAGGGGAAGGCAATGGGAAGGGGCCATAAGGTGGGCAGAAAGAGCAGGCCTGCCAAACAGTTGCCTGGTGGGCCCATAGACAGAGAGCAAACTAGGCTGCCGGAACAGCCATTCCGGCAGCCTAGTTTGCGCCTGCCAAACAGTTGCTTGGTGGGCCCCTGGACAGAGAGCAAACTAGGCAGCCAGAACAGCGATTCCGGCAGCCTAGTTTGCTCTTCGGGCCCAGGCCCAACGAAATGCCGAATACAAAGGCTAAATATTCATTCCCTTCATATTCGTCAGTGCCTCCAGAACGGATAAATATAAAATGACAAATATTACATACATCAGTGATTTCTGATGAATATCACAATTCATATAGAAACCCGTCCCCATGTCTAAAGCTAACCCCGAGAGAGGCCTGGAGGGAGAAAACAAGAAACTGAGCCTTCTCAATGGTTGCTCTTCGGCTTTTCCCTGCAATTCGTTTGGCCCCTTTGCTGGCAATATTTTAAAAGTCATTAAAAACCTGGCTATTTAGGCAGGCCGTTGTAAATGTCATACTTGCAAACTCTACTGAGTCTAACTAGCCTATCTGAGCAAGTCCACCACCTTCAATGTTTTAATGTTTTATTTTGATGTATGTTTATGCTCTGAGTTACTGCCTATTTGTATTTTATTATTTCTGTTATTTGTTATGTTAACAAACTCTACTGAGTCTAACTAGCCTATCTGAGCAAGTCCACCACCTTCAATGTTTTAATGTTTTATTTTGATGTATGTTTGTGCTCTGAGTTACTGTCTATTCGTATTTTATTATTTCTGTTATTTGTTATGTTAAATTGTATTTGGTAGGCCAGATGGGTGATATAAAAATTAGATAGGTAGATAGGTAGATAGATAGATAGATAGAGAGAGAGAGAGAGAGAGAGAGAGAGAGAGAGAGAGAGAGAGAGAGAGAGAGAGAGAGAGAGAGAGAGAGAGAGAGAGAGAGAGAGAGAGAGAGAGAGAGAGAGAGAGAGAGAGAGAGAGAGAGAGAGAGAGAGAGAGAGAGAGAGAGAGAGAGAGAGAGAGAGAGAGAGAGAGAGAGAGAGAGAGAGAGAGAGAGAGAGAGAGAGAGAGAGAGAGAGAGAGATAGGTAGATAGGTAGATAGATAGATAGATAGATAAAACTTTGATGTTCACTAACTAGAGACAGCTACTCATAGTGCAAAATAAGGCACAGAAGGAGCCAATCACCTCCTTTGTCAATGAATTCAGATGATGAGCATATAATGAACTTAGGAAAGTTACTTCTCCAGACAGCCTTATAACTATGCCAGCTAGGGATTCTCATATCCAAAGAAATAACCTTCCACAGCTCTGAGGCTGACCCACGTCTCTGACAGTTCACAGGCTCTGATTTCACCCCACATCCAGATAGTGGTAGTAAAAGATCTCATATGGAGAATTTAGGGGATTTGAGGTCCAAAACAGCAACTTTAAAAGCTATGAATTAAACATGCTCAAAAAGAAAAGAAACATCTGAACATTGCCCAAAGGCTGAATTCTAAACCAAGTGCTGTGTTCAAATTTAAAAATGACATTAAAAAAAAACCTGTGGGGTTGTAGGATTCTGGGAGTTGTAGTTTAAAAATGGAACTTTCCTAACCTCTGGCTCAGTGTTGAAAATATTGGGCTACATCGATTACAGCCTGATTTGGTATAAGGTTGCCTCCCGCATTTGTAGATTTTCCATCTCATTTTTAATTATTTGGTACTCTTTATTAACCCAGAAGTTTAATATAATTTCGGGAAGGTTCACATTTCTATCTATCTGTTCTGTACAGCACCTTGATATTTTTCAGCATATGACCAACACACAATACCTTCAGGAAAGGGCAAAGGCTCAATGGCAATCAATGTGTGATTGTTGTTTTTGAACCAAGCCAGCACTATTGTGCTGTTATGTGTTTACCATAACAATTCAGTTCTATTTGATTTGGACAGCAAGCCAAGGGGCAAAGGCTCAATGGCAATCAATGGCTCAATAGCAATCAATGTGTGATTGTTGTTTTTGAACCAAGCCAGCACTATTGTGCTGTTATGTGTTTACCATAACAATTCAGTTCTATTTGATTTGGACAGCAAGCCAATAAAGTAATATGTAGTCAGTCCATCAATCAATCATCAATCAATCTCCTAACTTTTCCCTGCTCCCTACAGAGGGGGTGAAAGGAGAGGATACAAAAGGTGATATTTTTTTTATTCCTTTTTCTTTATAACCCAGTACTATGTCACTTAACAATAAGCGGAGCGGGGGGGGGGAACAGTTTTCCCTTTGAGGTGTTGTGTGATTTCCTGCCTTGAAACCACCTGATACTTGAACTGGATGCAAAGTCCATTTTAAATGTCAGATTGCACTTCTTCTTACTGCTTAGCACCACATTTTCAATGTACGAAGCATTCTTAACACAGCCTGACAGACAACCATTCAAGAAAGAGTTAAATAATTATACAGCCTTATCCCTCCCCGAACCTTCCCCATTTTCCTCTCAATGGGTTTAAATGAGCATTTAATGTGAGTTTAATATGCCTGTTTCAGTATGCTAATCCAATATCCATTGATTGTTTAAAGGGAGGTCCTTCTCTGAAACTGAACAAGCCAGAGAGAAACATAACCTGGCACACAATTAGTGCCAAATTACCCAGCCTCTTATGGCTCTGAGTACATCCTGATTAAAGCTGGACGCTCAGGACAAAAGGGGCCAGGTTCCCAGGCAGACACCTGCACTCTGGGAAAAAGATTTCCTGATGGCAGCAAAGTCTTGGCAGCAGGAGGAGTTGGTTGTGTGCATCTGATGGAACAGCCTAATCAAGAGAATTAAAGGCACAAGGAAGTCGGGAAAGAAGGTGGGTGAGGGGCCTAAGCAAAGCCCGAGTCTGAAGGGCTGGGTACAACCAGAGTTCCAGGTTACCAGAGGCTGGAAAAGAGCAATCGTTTTTAACCTTCATAAATGAGGGTGGGACATCGAGTGAATTGTTTTGTTTGTTTTGCAATTGGCGTATTTTCAGTCAATGAGGCTTACCACATGGGGCTTTTGGCAGAAGAGAAATTATGTCTCCTAATTGTTAATGTGTTGGCTCCATTTGTGCAAGCCAGTGGAATTTTAACTACAGTCAGGAAATATAAGAAATGTACAGTGGTGCCCTGCTAGACGACGGCCTCGCAAAATGACGAATCCGCATGACGATGAGGTTTTGCGATCGCTATAGCAATTTGCAAAACAGTGTTTCCAATAGGCGATTTTTGCTGGACGATGTTTGGGTCCGTGCCTCGCAAACCGTTTCTCGCCAGACGACAATTTTGGCACTGAACAGCGCTTTGCAAAACGGGGGCTTTTGGGACTGATGCTTCGCAGGACAGCCATTTTAACCGCTGATCGGTGCTTTGCAAAATGGCTTCCGTATGGGTGATCTTCGTAAAATGACAACGATTTTCCCCATTTGAACGCATTAAACGGGTTTCAATGCATTCCAATGGGGAAACGGTTTTCGCAAGACGATGTTTTCACAAGACAGCGATTTCTATGGAATGGATTATCATCGTCATGAGGGGCACCACTGTACATGGAAAACCTAACCCTAACTCTAGCCCCAATCCCAGTTCTCTGAAAGTGAAAGAAGGAAACTTAAGTTGTGTGAGCCAAATTTTAAAAAAAATAAGTTGGGTAGTATCTTTAATGGACCACCATCTGTATTTTATGCACATGGCCTTATAAATGAGCAAAACCCATGTGGGTGTTCATGCATATACACACAAGTGCATGGACATACACACACACAATTATTTGGTTTTGTTTGTTCTCTTAGGTTGCCACCGGCCCTCTGGAAGTGGCTGTACTCCATTTATATTAAAGGAACAATGACAGCTAAAGTCCAGCCATTATCCGAAGGGCCATAATGGTGTGTTTCCAGAGCCAAGACCCTAAACCTCAGGTCAAAACCTTTGGGAGAACACAACCCCACCTCCAAAATAGGTTGAACGCTCAGTTGGGCAAATAAACCACTTCCTAAGACCTCCTCCATTTAATCTGGACACAGTTTCAGATTATTCACCATCATGCACTTCTTTATTTCACTGGTTGAGAAATCTGTTGTCTCATCTGGATATGGCAAAAAGGAGAGAGAGCAAGCTGGATAGGAGGCTGAACAGCTTGGAAGGTTATTTTTTTTTGGACAACAACTGCCAAAATTTCCTGGTGACCATAGATCTGGGTAGTCCAAAAAGCCTGTGGCCTGGATGTCATAGGCTTACTGTATTGGTTGCATTTCATAAGAGAAAAGCCATAAACCGAGAGAGCAAACTGTAATTCTCAAAAGAGCTCCCAAATCATTACATTAACAGAAGGCATCCTAGTTGTCAGGAGAACATATAGGGTTTGCTAAACTGACCGCAACTGTAGATGCCTTAGATAGACAGGTTCTAGGCCAGGGGCAAGCTTGCCATGCCCCATAGCTGTTGTGGGACTACAGCTCCCATCGTATTCAGCCAGTATGGCCAATAGTCAAGAATGTTGAGGCTGTAGTGCAACATTTGGAAAATCACATTTTACCCACTCTTGGCCTAGGCTAGAAAGGTTTTTAGAGATCAAAATCAGCACCTTGAACTGGGCCCAGAAGTCAGTGTAATGGTGCAATGCTGAATGAATATGGACAATTTTTTTTTGTTAATATACTGGTAGATCTTCATGGCAGCTCAACATAAAGCTAGCAGGGATGTCCTAAAAGAACAAGAGCACTAAGGGACAATTTTCTACCCCTATGGATTTTTCAGTAGAAGGTACATACCCAACAGCAAGGGAAGAAACGCTAGCTAATAGAATGGAAGAAAATACCAAGGGAACCGTTAGGGGAGCAGGAGGTCACTACTTACTGGAAGATGATGGTGGCGCCAAGATCCATCACAGAGCTGTGAAATCTTCTGGGATCTCCAAAGAAATCAAGCAACAAAAATGTTTTGTAAAAATGCAAAACCAACAAACCAACTAGGAGGGGGGAAAAATAAAGAAATCTGCACCCAAAAAAAAAAGGAGGGGAGAGGAAAAAGATGGCAGCGAACAAAATGCCAATCTTCAGTCATTATTACTGAGTTTCTTGAGTTCACAGATTAGACGGCTTTCTTCCCCCACCCTCCCCAAAAGAAGCAAAAAAATAAACGTCCTTGCCCCCGTGGCTTGGACTTGGTGGTCGTCTGTTGCCTTCCGATGTGTCGTCTTGTATGCATGCTGTGGGTGGATGTTGGGGAGGTACTCAGGAGCCCCCACACTCTTGCACTCTGCCAGGGTGGTGGCCTTCGATTGTCTTTTTGCTGGATTGGGTGGGTGGGTGAGAGGAGGGCTGAAGACAAGAGTCTGGTTCAAAAACTGCCCCCCCCATGCTGTTCTCAAGGAAATAGTTTCTTGCTTACTTCTTAAATATTTTTTTCCTTTCTTTCATTCTTTTTTTTTAACCTGTCTCTCTTTTCTTTTCTTTTTTTTTTTAGAAAAAACAAAACAAAACAAAAAAAGAACCAACAAATGAACAAAAAGATCAGTTCTTGATTTCCATTAAATACAGAACTTGAAAAGTGTTCCAGAAAAAGTGCTGGCTAAAGTACTCTGAAAAAGAGAAGGGAAAACAAAACAAAAACAGAAAAGGAGACATATATCAAAATGTCAGCACCTGGGTCATCATTCTCGACCATGGCATTTTTTTTTTGTCTCAGCAATCCCTTTACTGGAATCCACAATTCAGTGTCCCCTTTAAAAAGGACCTACTGAACACCTCCAGCTACATACATGCTGCCTTTATTTAGGGTAGACAATGGCCATCATCTAGCAGTTTGCATCACCTACAAAACAAATGTTCACTTTTTGTGTGAAAGGAAGCAATGGAAGTGATATAGAGGAGTGGGATTAAAGCTCGTCATGCTGGGAAAGGGAAATTCAACTGTCAATCCAATCTGTTTTCGTACAGGGAATGGGAAGGGGGGGGTTGCATGTCACCTGCAGGCATCAAAACGTCTTGGCCTGGGAAGAAGCTGGACGTGTGTGCTGTGATGGGCATGCCGGGCATGCCATGTTTTGTAGGCAATGAACGGGTAAAACCATGCCTGAGCATAAAGAAAATTAGGCCAGAGTTTGGAAAAGTTAGCTTTTAGCCTACATCTCTCAAAATCCCTCAGTCAGTACAGCCAACAGGTCATGTTGGCCAGGATTTCTGGAAACTGCAGTTCCAAAAAAACCCTCTAAACTTGTCCAGCCCGTGGAGAGTCCCCATCTGCAGTCTTGATTTCAGACCATGTTTCAAGTAAAATCCAGGCCAGAAGTACTACAGAGCACAGTCATATCCAAATCCCGGACACCCGAGGAATTCAATGGGCCCTGGGTTTAGGACAGTCAGCCGCTGGTGAATCTACTGGATAGAAAGCTCTGTTCAATGTCTGCACCGCAAGCCTTGCTGGCACCCAGTTAAAATAAAACAAAGCAAAACTGGAAGGGCAAAAGAAGCATTTGGATCTCCCACTTTGTTTCCTCATCTGTGCTGGCAACCGCCCACAGACACGTGGTTATGTTCTACAGTAGCTTGGTGGGGAATGGTCATTTGGGAGGAGTGAGGAATATTGAATTTTGGTATCGTTTCTGCCTGGTGGTAATTGCTGGCACAAAAGTATGAACCTATTTTTATCATTGCCAATTCCAGTCTTCCAAGCTGTCTGAGAAGGGAATGTTGTGTTGTGTGTCATCTGGTTGCAACCAACTTACAGCAGCATCAAGAGGCGTTTCAAGGTAAGTGAGATATTTAAGAAGTGGTTTTACTAGTTCCAACTTTCTAGTGAGTTTCCAAGGCTGAGAGGGGATTTGAACTCAGGCCCCTGTCATTCTATCCATTACATCACACTGGTTATTGAGAAGATGGGATAGACTTAGCAAAATGTAGAATAGCTTCTAGCCCTGTGTGTGTGTGTGTGTTTACAACTGATGTAAAAATGCAGTCCTCCCTAACTTTATTGACCAATGATGAACAATGAGATTTGGAAATGAAAACTACGTTTTCCCACTATGTATGTTCAAAATATAAACTGAAATATGCTGCACTTTTATCCCAGAGCCCTCCACTGGCTTCCATTAGCCTTTGGTGATAGCCCTATCTAGTACGAAATATTATTTATTATTTCACTTTATATCCTGTTTTTCTGCCCATAGCACCCCAAGGCAGATAACAATAGTAACAGAAACACAACAAATCAAATAGTTTGAATGCAACGTGCTTTTCAACCCACTTTCCATCCCTAAGATTTCACCGAAAAGCTTCTGTTAACAGTATGCACCTTGGTTTAAAAAAATAAATACATGTAAAAAGACATTCTCAATCGCTGTTTCCTATTTTTTGGAGCATCTTTCTGTGGAGACTCTCCAGAGTCCCAGCTGAAGCATATTTCAGAAGACATTTTGGGCTGGGGCCAGGTGCAAAGTGTTTACATTTATAGTATTTCACTTTTTTTGTAGCATGAAGCCTGTTTCATAAATCATAGTAAAAGATTATAGGTAAAAAGAAAAATTAAAAAAAACAAGTGCATTGCAACACCTGAAAGACTGCTGTGTTTTAATGGGAGCTTTCATGGATAAAATCCACCTCCTCGGACACAAAAGCCCACATTAAAATATAGCAGTCTTTAAAGGCCCCATAATATTTTCGTCCTATTATTTATCCTTTTATTTGTTCTTTTTCTTTTAGTTTGTATGTAACACTTGCACAGACTAACACAGCTTCCTCTTCTAAAAAGTAAACAATTAGCTACTTATTTTCAGGCACGTGAGTACCCTTCCGATACTACACGAAGAATATAACCAGTCTGTGGTGGAGATACGGCTTCCTCTTCTAAAAAGTAAATAATTAGCTACTTATTTTCAGGCACATGAGTACCCTTCCGATACTACACAAAGAATATAACCAGTCTGTGGTGGAGATACAGAGAACGGTATTATGCTATCATTTGTGAAGTCATCACTGGTTAATACACTGCTCACTATCCAAAGCTGTGCCATTAGAGACACATGATGTAAGCGACAACACTGTCCAAAGATGGTCAAGAGGTTAAGAGTGCGCTTGTGTTTTGGATTACAGCTCCCAGAACATTCAGATAGCCAGCAGTGAGATTCTGAGAGTTGTAGTCCAAAAAAAGTAACAGATCCATGTGCTGTTTAGCCTCCACATCTGTATGTGCAAGCTCAAAGATGGGACATGGCCAAGAGGTTAAGAGTGCACTTGTGTTTTGGATTACAACTCCCAGAACATTCAGATAGCCAGCAATGAGATTCTGAGAGTTGTAGTCCAAAAAAGTAACAGATCCAAGCACTGTTTAGCCTCCACATCTGTATGTGCAAGGTATGTAGGAACTGTGGGTCAATCAACATCCGTTTCTGGAGACCATGCAGACCTCCCCCCCACCCCCCGTTTGCCTGCACTCTTAAAGTCAGCTCCCTTTACTCTCCCTGAAATACTTTCCAAAGTGCAATAAAACTCTTTGTGAGTATAAAGAAAACAGTGGCAAGTTGCGTGGCTGGCTGAAAACCAACCCCACCCACCAGCCACCCCTCCCCAGCTTTTCCTCCAGCACCTACCCTGAAACAAAACCTCGTTGTCTGGTTGGCACTTCAGATGACACTACAATGAGGTGACTGTGAAAGTGTCTTCTGGATGTTGCTCTAGCATTGGACCCAAAAAACCACTCTTCTGGGCTGCAGCCATGATGGGGTGCCCCTGGGGTGCAAAGCTGGGGTACCTATAGTTGTCTTGGAGAGGCAGCATAGAGTCTCTCGGGACGGGGGAAAGGTTCAAGTCATTCATCAAGGGGCAAAGGTAGGCCCCCCGGTGGTGAGCCCTTGCCATGTCCATGGGCTCCTTTTCGTTCTTGGAAGAATTGGCGCTGGGGGGGCTGGTCATGTGGGGGTTGAGGCAGGAGGTGTCCGGGCTTCTCCCCATGAAGTCCACCAGCATCCCAACTCCGGCTTTGTTGTCATAGGGAGGGCTGCGCGTGCTGGAGGTGGGGGAGTACCAATAGCCGGGGTTTTTGCAGCTGGGCGACTCGTAGTGGGGCTGAGCCATGGGGAGGTCCCGGCAGGTCATGTGCGCCGCCGAGTGGGACAGGCCGCCCGCCCCTTGCATACTGTGTTTGAGCGAGTCGCAGGCCGGGAGCTTCCGGATATCGCCGGGCCGCAAGTCCTCCTTGAAGGCCAGGGTGGGAGAGCAGTTGGGCGAGAACGCTTTCTGCAAGCCTGCGTCAAACACAGTCTGCTGAGGGGGTGGCGGGGCGAGCTGGTGGGGCAGGACGGGGAAGTGCTTGCTCTCCAGGTCTCCCTGCCCCAGGCCCGGGGAGTCACTCTGGAAGCCTTGCCCGAAGGTGCCGTCGGAAGGCGTGGAGGGGTTCATGGAGTAAGGCCCCGAGTAGTCGCAGGAATCCCGCTCGGCGAGCCCAAATCCCCGGGACTGGGAGGGCAGTGGGGACATGCTGCTGTCTCCGCTGTAATAGTCCAGACCTAAATCTGTGCTGTCTTGAAACAGGGGGTTCACCGGCTGGGATTTGGTGGGGAACTTGGTCTTGCCAGTGCCCCTCTCCTTCTTGGAGGCACAGGCCCCCCGCGAACCCCGTGGCTGCCGGGCCCCAGTGCCCCTCTTGGAGGGATAGGAACCGGTGGAGAAATTCAGGTGGGCAGCGTCAAACAAATCTACTTTCTTCCGCCGGCCGCGCCCCGGCTTGTTGCTGCTTTGGAATAAGACACTCTGGTTCCAGTTGTAACCTGGAGCTGAAGACGACTCGTTCCAGTCCATCATCAGCTTCTCCAAGCTGGAGAGGCTTGACTGACCCTCGCTGGATGAGGCCTCGCTATTGGCCCTCCGGTAGCCTGCCGGCTGGTTGAATTGGGTGCTGTCGGAAGAGGACTCGGAGAAGGTCTCGGACACCGTCTGCTGCTTGGCCTTTTGGGGCGTGTAGTTGGAAATGTCCAGGATGACGTTGGGCTCGTTGATGTGGCAGTCGAAGCCTGGGTTGTAGAGCTGGCTGAATGCCTCCGAATTCCAGTCCAGGTTGCCATAGCCTTGTCGGAAAGCCCACTGGGAGGCGCTGGGAAACTGACGACAGTTCTCCGGCGAGGGCTGGAAGGAAGCGGAGCCTTTGGGGACCATGTACCCACCTGGGGACACAGTGCTCGCCCTGCTGTCGCATCTCATCGGCGTGTGGGAGGAGCTGGAGAATGGGTTGGGGTCAGAGCTATTGAAGAAGGAGGCCTTGTTCAAGGGCAGGCTGGGCCCCGAAGCCTGTTGGGCGTAGCTGGCGCTGTGGGCGCTGCTTGGCGAGGAGGGCAAGCTGTTGCCACTGCCGTAGGGGAAGCTATAGTCTTTGTTGTTAGGGCAGTCTTGGGTGGTGTGGTATGGCTTTCCTTGCTGAAACAAGCTAGAGGGCGTGATGCTCTGTCCTCCGCCACCGCTGTAGCTGCCGTACTGTGCATAGGTGGAGGCGCCCGTGGAGTGAGCGGTGGGTGACCTGGAGACGGCTGAAAGAGGCACCAACTTCTGGAAGGCATCTGTACTGCGGCACTCGGAAGCAGCCTGGGAGAGGCTGTACCCCGTTGCTCTGGTGGGAGGGAATGACTGCCGGTTGGTCATGACGGTATGGAAGGGGGTCTCAGTAGTAGCAGCGCTGGTAGTGGACGAGGGCGTAGCTTTGCCTCCTCGGCTTGGGTAGGACGCCATGCCCCTCTGTGTCGCGATGGCGTTGGGCGGGGCGGTGTACGTGGTTGTGGACTTCCGCGACTCGGAGCGTGTGTTTGAGAGGGCAAAGTCCAGAAGGTCTGAGGAGTCGTCAGAATCCAACAGGGAACGGAAGTACCCTGTGAAAAGGTTCTGCCTTTCCTGGCTAAGCTCAGACTGGGATGAGGGATTGCTGCCCCCAAAAAATCCACTCCTACTGGAAGAACTCGTCTCCAGTGCTGAAGAGTGAAAGGTCCGAGAATCGGCGCCTTGGAAACTGCAATTCCTGCTAGCTTGGTTGGAGGGATGTCCGTGGTGGGACATCCAGGAACTCTCCTTGTCACCACACCAGTCAGAAGTCCCATCATTGAAGTTCTGGCTAGCATTTTGTTCTGAAAACAGCACCCCGTTCTTGCGGGACCTCCTCTTCCTCTTGGGCTTCTCCATGGCGTCTGGCTCAGGGCGGCCCCTCTTCCGTGGGTGAGTAGGATCCGCATGCATGGCCGCTCCAGGGGCTGCCTTCTTCTTCTTCCCAATCCCTTCAAAGAAGTCGCTGAAGGAGCAGCGAGACGAGCGGGCAGAATGCCCTCCTCCACGTCCAAACCCGCCTCCTTTGCCGCCACGCCTGCGGAAACCTTGAACCCGGTGCAAAAACTGGGAGATGCTCTGAGTGTCAGGGGCTTGATGGATGGAGTCTGGCTCACTTGGGGTCCAGCAGCGGGGTGGGGAGCAACGCGCCGAGCACTGGCTCTGGCGGTTTAGAAAGGCAAGCTTTGCCAAGACGTCGGAATAGTCGGCTTTGCTGTCGTTGGTATCAGCCACGTAAGAGGGCTGGGGGGAGGCCAGCTTCTGTTTCCTCCTCCTCCGTTTCTTCACGTCCGGGGTGGGCTCCTTGGGCTTGCAGGGTCCCAGCATCAAGTTTTTGGGAGGCCTTCCTCGCTTGCGCTTCAGGATAATGGGCATCTCTCCCGGAGGAAAGACCACCACCACATTGCGCCCGTTGTTCTTCATCTTCAGCAGTGGCGTCGGCTCCATGGAAGTGCACGTCGTCAACTCTTTGCCTTCTAGGTTCAGGTTGCTGTTGAGAGAGGACACTTTGTACGTTGTCTTATTCCTCCTCCCAAGGGAGACGGGAATCTTGGCCATCTTCACCACCATCCTGCGTATGCCACGACACTTGGGCTTGGGGGGCTGCAGGACGGCAGGGGCAGTTTTCTGGTCACATTCGGGTTCCAAAGGGGAAAGGACAGGAGTGTCTGCTTCATCGGCCGGCGCAGTTTCCGCGAGCATCCTGGGTTCCTCCGGCGGGGCCATCACCACCTCTGCTGGCGCAACCATAGGGAGGACCCTGGTCTCTGCGGCAATCTCCACCCGCCGCCCCCGCCCCCCCCTCCG